CTCATCCGCTAGTCCCTTGATGAAGTGGAAATATTCTGTGGCAGATTTATTGCCTTTAGTTGCAATGACCAATTGTGTGCGGATTTGAACAATGTGCACACGAGATTTTGAGGAGAAAGTTTCATCTAATGCACACTAGACAACATGGGAGGTTGTATAATTAACAACCTGAGCAAGCACTCTTTTGGTAAGAGAGGACATGAGAGTACTAAGGATGAGGTTGTCCTGCTTGACCCATTGAGAGTAAGCAGGATTGAGTCTCTCAGAAACAACATTGGCTTCAGGGTGGGACACGAAAATTGTTTTTGGTGGTTTTTTTGTGGTTCCGTCAAGGTAACCAAAGAGGTCCTGACCTCGAAAATATGGTACCATTTGGGCTTTCCAAAGTAGATAATTATCTTGGCTTAGTTTGATAGTAGAAATATTAGGCATGGAGACAATGGAGGGAGATTGGGTTTTAGGATTGGAGAAAGACATTTAGACGTTGGTCTTTTGATGGCTATATTGATACCATGTAAAAGAATTGAAAAGGAGAGTATGCGAGAACTGATTCCTCTGTTTTTCATTAAGTATGGTATAAACTGTACAACTATATATAAAAGAGCATTTACAACGGATGCCTACATTTACGTGAATAATTAAAATTAAAAGATTACAGCTATACAATCTTATAATAGAAACGTAGGATCAAATCTTCCTCATTTGTTAGGCTCTTGATTTGTTGTTGAGAGTTCACCAAATCTGCTGCTGTGATTTTGGTGATTACCGTTGCTGCATATCTCAATATTCTGATCTTCAATATCTTCAGCCTTTAATTTCGTTACACTGACTTGATTCTCTACATCTTCTTCTCCAAGCTCAGATTAATAAGATTTGGGTGTCTTGCTATAACGGCAGGCTCCAAAACCTTCTTTTTCGCAAAAAAGTCCATCACTGCCATACCTTATGCTCAGATGTAAACATAAAAATGGATACTTTTGAAATGCTGCCAAAATCTCTTCCTCCGACAAACCCCACATCTTATAAAATTTGAGTTTCTTTTCCCAAAGGGATTTGTGGATTATCATTTTCACAGCATCAGCTACAATAAACTGTGATCTCGAAGGATTGATACCCATTTCCTTTACTACCTCCACAACATTTAAAAAAACTCTCGTCCCTATTGTAAAAACACAAGGCAAGATATACAGTAATGTGCATATATTTGAATCAGGCACACCATAGCTTCGCTAAATATCGATATGAGGAGCAATATAAAAGTTTATATCCCCGCAGAGAAAACGCATATTGCGTTTAACAATAATAATGGCCTTCTCTCTAGATTGAAGCAGATTACTAAGGTCATTAAAAGTAGGGATTATAAACTTTTCTAAGCTTCTATTTTATATACGAGGGCATATGGAAAATATTCAAGCAACATCTGTCTTTTAGAAGCCTACTGAGTAATAATAATTTAGTTTTGGCAAAAGGGTTTTCTCAGGATTAGCCAAAAGTAATTTGGGCTCTCTTTTGATGAGGTCTAAAATTTGTGGTTTAGAGAAACAAAGGCAGTTGAACATGGCAATGACAGAGTCGGGTCTTTCTGGGGATTTAAATTTAACACATTGGGAGATAGATGAAGCAGGTTCTTGAGAGAACCCATATGAATTTATGAGGTATGAAATAGTAAATGTGTGTAGATTTGAAGTAGTCGAGACTTATTTTGTAAATAACATTGATTTGTAGTTTTGAAGACAATGCAATTGGTGTGTTGGTGATACATGGAAAATGGTTTTGCAGAGAAAATATAACATGAGAATTGGAATTAAGGACTCAGAGAAAACAAACTTACGATTCTTGAGAGAAGCTGTCTTCTTTAGTGGAGCAAACCTTTTGATTTTTGTATAAGCTGCCAAAACCCTTGAGCTAATGTACACTCACTCAAGTGAACTCTTCTTTGTATGGAACTTTTTGGGTTTTGGAAAGGGAGGATGACAATTTCCCATCCAAGGTTTGGCATAAGTAATTTTCCCACCCAAAAAGTAAAAAAAAATTAAAAAATCAATTTCTCTCATGAATAAGATAAGTTGTCAAACGAATCTTACAAATTTCTCTCTCAAACTCTGATATGGAAGCTGAGTTGGCAGCTCCATCACACCTAAGACACAAACTAATTTTGATGAGACCCAAGAAACGATTGTTCATACTTTCCTTTCTAAGGAACGACCATTCTCGTTCTTATAAAGGAATAGTTATTCCTTGTGAAGGAATGACCATTCCTTCATATAGAATGGCCGAATTGTTTTTTCATAAGGAACGACTGTTCTTTATGAAGGAACGACCATTTATGTTTAGTCAAAGTCGTTAGCTGACATGTTGATGAGATTTGTTTGTTAGGGTAGTATTACCCTCCCACACAAAATGTCAAAATCTATTGACCTTTTGTAGACAAGTTTTGTTATGGTACAAACTTGCAGTACCGTAAATATAAGTATAATGAAAAAAAAAAAAAAACAATTAAATAAATAATGGAACTCAAATTATGAAAGAGTGGATTACATTAGAGCAAACAACATGTTCTTACCTAAGGTTTAGTGAAAGGCCAAGTTCCTACCACTGGTTTCATAAATCTCAGATTCTCACCCTTAAATTAACATAGTTCATTTCTTTTAACAAATAAAGGCTAAAATGGTCATTTAATAGATTTTAATATTTTCGTTTCTTCCAGAACCTCTCTTTCTCGCCTTCTATCCCCCACCCTATTGATCTAGCAAATCGCCTGCCACCACAACTTTTTGCTTCACGTGATTACTGTTCCCTAGTCGGATTCCGGCCGATTGAAGGTTCCAACACCCCACCTGACACTACCGCCGACATCATCCCCCCACCCTCATCAAATCCCTATAACCCCTTGGTAGCACCAGCTCGTTATTCATCGACTGCCGTAACTATTCTTGCGTGACTGCTGTGCACTTGGAAGCCTTGCTACCACCAATTTTCACCTCAAATCAAACACAATTAACACTGCTCCTAATTGCTTATTCTATTTGGTTGATTGTTGAGTGTAATTAGGTCGTCGGCGACCCCCTATCATCGGATTTCTGCACTCCTAAGTAGGGATGGGCGCGGAGGGGGACGGGGTCCCCATTTTTCTTATGACCGTCCTTGGCCCGTGGGGATGGAATCACTCCCATCCCCGTCCTGATCCAGCCCAATGAACGAGGCTTCACGGGGAATTTCCCCCCAGTGGGATTTTTGCCTTGTGTAGATCAAAACTTTCCGCATATTCTCACGATAATAATATTAAATTATTTTAATTGTGAGAAACTAGCACGTTGGTAGGTACTATATTTGACTGCTTAATTTCAGTAGTTAATTCATTAAAAATACTGAATTTAAGATGAGAAAATATAAAATCAACAATTTCTTGTAAAATTTAAATTAAGATTTAAAAAGCGATACATAACTACCACCATAAACTAATTTAATCGTTACTAAGTTAGTGACACATTTTCTATATAGTATTAAATAGAGGAATTTAGATTCCACATTCTGATGCTTTATGTTGCTGAGACATTGTAATATTCCACTGAAATAGTCTCATCTACAAAAATTCATAAAATAAATACCTAAGAGAAAATTTCGCTGAGAATTGATATGAATATAGTGAATAACAACAATTTTTTGGCAAAAATTGGAACATGCTCATTGATTTCAAAGCAATAAACTATAAACATCCTTCAGGCTGTGACATAAACCTAATATTATACTCAAACCATCCATTGCGACATAAACCTCATAATATATTGGTTTGATAAATTATAATAATCTAATCAAATTTATTTTTGGGTCATGTATTATTATTTGGTGAAATTCACAAAGTAATAATACATATATTTAATTATTTGACTTCCTTGTTCAAATTATTTTTCTATAAATTTAATACAAACATTAGAAAGTATTATAAAAGTAAATATTATAAATTTAGATACATTACTTAAAACCATGATTTAAACTCTAATTTTATATACAATTTCACAAAGGGGACAAAAAAAAAAAAAACATAAAATTCTCAAAAAAGCGAGGCGAGGCGGGTCGGGGATTGCACTATCCCCTCCCCCCGCCTGTCCTCGGGTGCAGGGATTTTTTTGAGGACCATCCCCGACCCTATCCCTGAATTTTGTGGGGATTCCCCGCCCCATTCGAGTTGGGTTGTGCCAAATCCCCGTGGGGTCGGGGCAAACGCCCATCTCTACTCCTAAGCCACGCCCACAACTAACACCAAATCTGTTTTTCTGGGAAAAAGAAAATAGATTCCCTATTTTATACTGGGAAAATAGATTCTGGGAAGAATTAGGATGAGTTTTGGGATGGTGGTGGCGACGACGATGGTGGCCATGGCTTTAAGAGGATTTGGAGCTGGTGAGATGAAGAAGAAGAAGATGGGAGGGTAGTTTAGTAATAGTATCATTTGCATATATGTTACAATCTCATGGTCACTAATGGTGTTACTTTAAGGGTGAGATTCTGAAATTTATGAAACCAGGGATGGAAACTTATCATTTCGCCAAACCTTAGGTAAGAAGAAGCCGTTTACTCATTACATTATTCCAATACTAGGATAATGACAAAAATTGAACAAGAGATAATTATAAATATCATAATACAAAAATCGAATTAGCATGTAGTAAAATTTTTATACATATCTAAATATCAATTTATTTTTTAGTTTTCATTTAATATTAAATTAAAAATAATTAACAACAAAGGATAAGAAAATTTTCTCCTAAAATCAAAAGTCACAATCCATAAATACTTTAATAATAATACACAGAGGCGAGAAATCAAAATCCAACGGCTGAGATTGAACAATGAACGCCACGAGTAGGAACACCCCACCACTTATTCTATGATCCATTTAACACCCAATAATAATCAAATACAAAAAGCTAAATTTGAATTCTTTAAAAAAAAAAAAAAAACTAAAATCACTTAAAACACTCCTTTTTTCGCCACAAATTTTTTTTATTTTAAAGTTTTCGCGGTTATATCCCAAATTTTTCTTCTTCAATTTCAATTTCTTCATCTTAATTATTATAATCAAACCAATATTATCTTCTCTTAATCTTCTTCACTGCTCGGCTTCTGTGCTTCGATCGCTTCGCTTTCGCCTCTTCTCTTCTTCTTCTTCTTCTTCTTGTTGGCGCAGCCTCATCACCAATGCCTCGTCAATCAGCTTCTCTTTGATCGGCGAGTTACTAACTTCGCATCTCCTTCGTTCGCTTCTTTGTTTCAGATCTTTTGCTTCTGCTCTCGATTAGGGCTGGGGAATTAAAATTTGTCAACTGTGAGGTGTTTTTAAAGTTGAAATGAAGGTTTAATTTGTTTGCGATTTTGAAATTGTGTTTTCTTTGCTTTCCTACTTGGTTTCTCAGCATTCAGGTATCGAAGCTGATCTTTGTCCAACTCTTTGTTGCTTAGTAGCTTGTGTGTTTTTGTTAGATTGTTGTTTATATTTTTGAATAGTTGGAAACTGATTTGATTGTATTATTTCGTTTTCTTTTGTTTTTGTTTCCATATGAAGTTTATGATGCTGTGAAAATTTCGACGTTAACGTGTTTTGTTGTGGATTTTATCAAAAACCTGTTCTCCTTTTTGCCAATTTTAATTGATCTTACTATGCTTATTTTTATGTCCAATTTAGGCACGTGTTTCTAAGGTGTGTGTATATTTGGGGATGGGGGAATGAGATTATGCTGAAATTTATCAAGTGATCATGGTTAAGGGTTCTTTTTATATATATTGGATCTGGAGTTTTGTGAAGGATAATAATTGGCTAACTGGTCTCTTGTTTTTTGGTAGGTTTCAGACTATTGAGGTAGTCATTTATGGCCCCGACAAGAAAATCTAAAAGTGTAAATAAGCGGCATTCATATGCTAGTGAAGTCGCGTCCAAGAAAAAAGGCGAAAATGCTGACAAAAGTGGGCAGCGGGTGAGTTCTGGCTTTGTTCAGAGGCTAGTTCCATTCAAAATCTGTCAAAATAAATGGAGTTTTCTTTTGTGTTGTTTAATTCAAATGACTAATAATGTTCCAATTATTTTCATGTTTAAGTAGTAATTGAAATCCCATTTGTTTGACTTCTAATCTTGGATATAAATATATTTAAATTTGCTTCTTTCATAGTTTGGTTCCACATATTAAACAATTAATAATCTGTTGGGATGGGGTTTAATCTTGATTTAGTTCTTCTTTTCCCGAACTCCTTGGAACTTGCTTTCTCCTTCTCCAATTGTTTTGGAAGTATATCGTTTACAGTAGAAATCTATATTCTTTATGAGGATAAAATCATATATCGACTCTTTAAATTTCCTACAATATGACAGATATGGTAATGTACCTACTGAGTTTGCATTTTGTAACTAGTAATGTGGTAAATTTATTCATAGGATCAAGTTAACTATTATATGGAAATAGTTAAAATTGCAAGAATTATAGCCCAAGTGAAATAGGCACTTATTGGATCTTATCTATAATTCATATATGGGATGCAATAATATAATAAATCATATGTTGATGCTCCATTAAAAGAAGTACAATGATGTTATTTCAAAAATTATGAATTATATGACAGATTTCCTTTTAAAATTGTAAACCATAGTAATCTCTTGTCATTTATCAGCAGAAACTGCTATCTTTCTATTCTGTTTCTTCCTTGATGCCATAGTTTTTTAAGATAACACTATCTTTCATGTTTTTAATTATTAACTTTCATATATAATAATTTTCTTACTCTAGAATAATCATGTTTTTACGTAAGCTCTTAACTACCGAGTTCTATTAACCCACCCTTCTCTACTCCTACCAAATTTTCTTTTTATTGTTGATTCTTTTAGTATCCATTAATAGAGATGCAATTGAATGTTTTAAACCCACTGTGAAGAATTTCCATTTTAGCATATACCCTAATATAAGTTTTATCAATTTATTGTTGTTTCAGATTTATGATCATGCAACCTGGAATAAATTGATTAGTAGGATCTTTTTTTTTTAGTGTAGTAAGATCCTTACATATAATCAATAATATTTACTTCTAAAATGTTTGGTCATGGACTCAGTTTTTAGTTTTACAATTATTTATTACCGTATTCAGAAGAGGAAGCTATCCGACATGTTAGGGCCACAATGGAGCAAGGAAGAACTTGAGCGTTTCTATGAAGCCTATCGTAAATATGGAAAAGACTGCAAAAAGGTTAGTTCCAGCTTGCACATTTGAATTATGGTGCAGTGATTTTATGGAATATAAATTACTAGGTCAAGTGCCATCATTACTTGGTTTCCATGGCTGATATGAGTTAATAAATGCAAATAATGTTACTAAGAACTTTGTCAGAACAGGCTTGTGACTTCATGTGTAAAACTTAATACTATTGCTTTACTGTACTATTTGGATCAATTCTATATCTGCTATGGAACAATGCATTTATTTTCTGTGACACCCTACAACTTCTTTTAGTTTTTATCTCATTTGAATCTATAGGTAGCTGCTGCAGTGCGTAACCGGTCTGTGGAAATGGTTGAAGCACTTTTCACTATGAATAGGGTAAGCATGGTCTTATTTTACCTGATTATAACCTTTAACTTATTTCAATTTCTTTATTTTGTAAAGCTTCTAAATTTTTTTCTTTGATTTTACCATGTATAAATTCAACGTAGTACCTTTTTGCATTGTTTTGCTTAGTCTGAGGCATCACTTTTCTTTGTACATTCCTAGGGATTGCTCCTACAAATTTAAATTGTGTTTCCACATTCCAACGGGCCAACCACTATTTTAGTTTGGTTAGCTTAAAGCAAGTGAAATAATGTTGTTTGCTGTTGTGCAGTAATTTTCTATAAAGATACTGCTTCACTTTGGCTGGATGCACTGTACAAAATTATCTTCTAAAAGATACTGCTTCAGAGGAACTGCACATTTGAAATTGGATTAGATTGGAATCACCTAATGTATTTAAAACTCAAGCCAGTTTTTGTGGTTTTGGGTTTATGAAGCACATATTGAACTTGATCAGTTTTATTTGAGTGGCATAGATCTGTATACTAGTATGCATGTTTGTATGGATTTTTTATTTTTTATTTTTAAAAAGAACTCTAATTTTTTGATGTTTCGAACAGAACTGAAAAAATAAAGAAATTGATTTCCGTCATTGCTTTTGTTTGTCTTTCAGGCTTACTTATCTCTTCCAGATGGCACTGCTTCAGTAGTCGGATTAATAGCGATGATGACTGATCATTACGGTATTCTGGTGAGATTGAGATTTAATCCATCTGGGTTGTGTAAACTGTCATATAGATCTCAGCGTAAGATATTCTGTGCTAGTTGCTCAAAGTTGGCTTGCATTCTATGCGGAAATCAAAACAGTTGCTTTATTGTTGCTGCAAGTACAGCACGAGCAAGGAGATTAGTTAACAAGAAATAATTTTTGCAACAAATACGGGCACCTACCGTGATGAAAAATAGAGGATTTTCAATTGTCGATAAGAAATATTTTTTTGCTACACAGACATCCAAGCATATTCATGTAAACATATTAGAAGGAAATATGAATCTACCACACCATTTTTTCGTATGAGCCTCCGGACTTATCTTCTATATATATATTTCTATCTCTCCATGTGAAGGTATTTACTGATGTTTTAAATTGACATAAGGAAATAATCAGCTCCTCCTACTTTTGCCTGGTTGACTGGCCAGGAATCTGACATGGACATGTAAACAGCGTGGGTGATTCCTAAACTTTGAGAGGAAATCAAGGTGATTTGCTTTACGTGGTGAATAAAATTCACTAAAGAGGGGAAAAAAGGGATAAAAAAAGTCATAGACAAAAAGAGTGACGGAATCTCTTTTTAGTAAAAATTAATTTGACTTCAACTGGATTTGGTGTTCTCTCTTTCTACATTTTCCCTCCCTCTCTCTTGCTTGCCATCTGTCTGTGGTGTATCAATCAAAGTGGAGCATATTAAGTACCTGATGATACATTTGATTGAGTTGTAAACTACAACCAAGTATACAATTTTAAAATTGATAAAGTTGTGAAGTGCTATCATTTATTGTCTGCCTGAAGCTCTTTCTCCCGTGAAAATCTACCACTTCTCCCTCTCTCCCATTTTTTTTTTTTTTTGTCTAAATTATTATCGTGCTTACCAAAGTGCTCATGTGATTTTGTGATGGTGGTTTTTGCTTTAAATTCAGTGTCCTGATATTTATTGCTGCGTCCATGAATGCATATTTGATTATTTATTCTATTTTATCTCTATCAAATAGCTTGGTGCATCTAGGCAGTGCAATAAGCTTGTAGGGATGACCTATATGGAATTAAAATTAGTAGTTTGTGACCTGGCAGGAAGGAAGTGACAGTGAACAAGAAAGTGATGAGGGTACAGGGGCATCTCAAAAATCGCAGAAGCGTGCTGGTGGAAAATTTCAAAATCACACCACAAAAGGATCAGATGAACCATTTCCAGATCTTCTCCAATTCCAGTCAGCTGCATCAAATTATGGATGCCTGTCATTGTTGAAGAAGAGGCGTTCTGGTAGGAAAGATTGTCTTACAAATCTCTCTTTCTCTTTCTCTCATGCTATAAACTGGTAATGTGTTCGTAGTCTAAGGAACCTGCTTAGTGTGTTTTTCACCTGTAGCTCTTATATAATTGAAGTTTGAGGACTTCAAGTTAAGAGTTCTTTGTATCCATTTACTCATTTACTGTTCTTCTCCATTAGGTTTTAAAAGGGTATTTTCCCCCTTATTTACCACTTTTGAAGTGCTACTAACACTTTATTTTCTTTGCATTTTCAATTTGTTCTAGGAAGTAGGCCTCGTGCTGTTGCAAAAAGGACTCCTCGTGTCCCTGTTTCATATTCTTATGACAAAGATAATACGGAGAAGTATCTTTCACCAATTAGGCAGGGACTGAAACCAAGGGTAGGTACTATTGATGATGATGTTGCTCATGAGATAGCATTAGCATTGACAGAGGCTTCTCAAAGAGGTGGTTCTCCTCAAGTTTCTCAAACACCAAAAAGAAAAAGGGGAACACCATCACCTGTTCAGAATAATGTTAGGATGGTAATTTCTCCTTATATGATAGGTTTTTTTTTTTTTTTTTTTTTTCCCTTTTCTAAAATCATGTTAATGATATTAATTAGCTCAGTACTGTGTTTAGCATGATGAATCAGAAATGACCAGCTCCAAGCTTCGTGGTAGTGAAATGGATGAGGATGGTTGTGAATTAAGCTTAGGGAGCACAGAAGCTGATAATGGATACTATGCTCGGGACAGAAGTCATTTGATGGACACAGAAAGTGCTGGTACTTTTAAAGGTCAACAAAAAGGAAAGAGAAGCCATAGCAAGAGGCCAAAATTAGAAGAAAGTGTAAACAATCAGTTGGATGACATAAAGGAAGCCTGTAGTGGGACAGAAGAAGGACAGACATTGGGTGCTGTTAAGGGCAAATTTGGAACTGAGATTGATGAAAAAATTTCAAGGTCCACTTATAAGGGTTCAAGGAAGAGGAGTAAAAAGGTTTTGTTTAAAAGAGGTTAGTGATTGCATCTGATCCAAATCTCCTCCCTCCTCCAGGCAGGCTGCCCTTGTCTCTCCTGTGATTTATAATTCTGGATGCTTTTAGTTCCTTTAATGAATTCAGTGAATTCTATGTGACCTCTGTAACTTTCTTCCTTCTTATTTTTCCTACTTCAGAAGGTTATATTGTTATAGAATATGACTTTTTTTTTTATTTGTTCTAGTGAATATCCATGTTGTCTGTGTCTGTCATATTGAGTAGAGGAAGCTCATTTTGTTTCCCATAGAATGATCTCATTGGAGACATTTTGGATTTCATTAAAGAAGGAAGTTTCTTCTTTGTCTATTATCTGTCAAGGGGTCAAGCAGTAATTAGGTGGGAAAAATTTGGAAGTTGGTGAAGTCACTTTTTTCTCTCCATTCTATGCTTGAAAGTATATATAAAAGATGGAAATGACATCATTCTTAGAGCTTCCCTGTAGACTTGAATTTTGTGAACTGAATGAGCACTTACGACCTGGTCAGTGACATTATTTCTGCATATTGTGAGGCATTAAATATTTTTTTTATAACTAATACATGACCTGAATGATATTGTTTCCTATTTCACTGGAATGACTAATAGTATCTGACTTTTTGAGAAGTTGTGTATGCTTCATTGAGCTTCAACTTTGACTTATCTCTGTCTCCTTCCTGTAGAAGCATCTGTTTATCTCTTAATAGTATTTATACTTTTGACTCTGTAGATGAAGGCTCTGCCTTCGACGCCCTGCAAACATTGGCAGATCTGTCATTGATGATGCCAGAAACAACTGTTGACACTGGTAAGATATCAATGGTATAATCATTCTTTGCATTATCTTTTTTCCTGCCTTATAGCTAGTTTGACAGATTCCCAGTGGAATTCTGGGTGGTGTTAATGAATTTATGATTTTATTTTCAGTTGAGTTTCTTCTGGTCAAGATTTAATCTTTTGTTTTTATCTGTCTTAAGAGTCATCTATTCAGTTAAAGGAAGACAAGCCTATTGACGAGTCTAAGTTGAAGGGGTATCATTCAAGTCCGGGAGCTAAAGTCACTGCCTGTAAAACATCTAAGCTGGGAAAATATCGCACTGATAACAATAGTGGTGTACCAGAAGCAGAGGAGGGAAATCATCGGACAAATGCTGGAAGCCGTACAAAGAGACAAAAGTTCTTGCCATTTAAGCTAAGGATGGATGTAAGTTTTTTGTCTGCATTTTCCTTTATTTGCTGATCAAAATCCATATATTCTTTCTAGTTCATCTCATACGCTAATGACCATATGCAAGTTGCTTTCTGGGCACAGATTCCAAAACCTGAAGATAATACTGATTCTCATTTGGACAAATCTCAGAAAATTGAGGTGCGTAATTTCTTTCTGTTAAAAAATTACTGGCTGGTCTCTTGTCTGTTCTTTTGCCAAATTGATGGCTTTTCTCTAATTTCATGCATCTCATATAATTATAAATTAATGAATAGATAATGTGATATTCATGCAAAATATTTATCCATGTTATTCAATTCTGAAGTTTAACTGTGCTGAAGTAGTGAAGTGTACAAGGTCAGTGCCCCCTTACGTCATTTAAGTTGCTTTTTACGGATTGGGACACAATTATGCCTTATAAAGTGAGATTGACTACATTCTTAACACTTGATATTGACTATGCTTTTGATCAAATCACCAAGTAATGGCCTAATCAAATCATATGAAAATACTGGCTGTCTGCTATTTCATGTCTACTTTGACTCTTAAGTATTGACATTTTAATGGATTTTGAAGTGCTGGTCCAGTGAATTTCTATTCTGGTTGAGGAAACATTGGTATAAGTTAGAAGAAAATTGACCAATTATCAGCAGACTAATAAAGCTAAGAGAAGAGGAAGCATTTATCAGAGGAACTTTACTTTGTTAGCTCCTATTGAGAATAATTTTGGAGCAAAACAAATTTGATGAAGCTTGCACTGTATGCTTGTGTTTTTCCTTTTAGGTGATAGAAATAAAAGTACATGTCATTTCTATTTATCATTAGTTTGCTTTATGGGGAAAGTTCAAGGTTTTAGAGTTGTGCTGATTTTTCCTTTCTTCATTTCTTTTTCCTCATATTATGAGCCTTGAATTGCTATTTTTTATCCATTTGGAAATGTGTTATTAATTGACTGGTCTGTTTGTTGCAATTCGATTTTGTTCTTTATAACTTTTATGTGCCTATTGTAGTTGAGTTTACATTTCTCTTCATGCTAATATGGTTAATTTTTTGTTTCTTTGTCATTTATGGCCTATTATCCTGTTTTCCAATGTTATCCTTTTACATTTTTAGGCTACAGATGAGTTGAAGAAGTTTGTGAGTAAAGGTAAGCGCACTCACAGTTCAGTGCAACCCAAACAAGGAAAATTGGTGAAACCTCCTGAATGTACTTCAAGTACTGGTCAGAGAAAGGAATTGAATAATTCAGGTCCATCAAGCACACAAGTTATATCAACAAGCAAGATCAATGTACCCACCAAAGTCAGGAGCAGGCGTAAGAATACTCCACAAAAACTCCTGATCGAGAAACATACAAAGTCTTCTGAGGATCTTTTAAATGGCCAATCTTATAAAGCAGTTCCTTCTCTTAATGAGAAAACATTAAAACTAAAGGTCCAATATGGTTCACTGCTCAAATTCATTAGAGTTTCTTGAATCTTGATTTTGTCTTATTTTGTATATTATATATACAGGATCAGCTTTCTGGTTGCCTATCTTGGTACCTAGTACGGAGATGGTGTGTTTTCGAGTGGTTCTACAGTTCAGTTGATTACCCATGGTTTGCTAAAAGGGAGTTTGTCGAGTACTTAGATCATGTAGGGTTGAGTCATGTGCCAAGATTAACTCGTGTTGAATGGGGTGTCATTAAGAGGTATTAGCCTTTTAACTGCTTTTCAGTATGGAGTTTATCCTTGAGTTTTGATGCTTTCTTGACACACTTTGGCTATAAGTCTTCATTATGATTTTCTTGTTGGCACAGTTCCCTTGGCAGGCCACGGAGGTTTGCTGAGCCATTCTTGAAGGAAGAAAGAGAGAAGCTTTATCAATACAGGGAATCTGTCAGAAATCATTATTCCGAACTTCATGCTGGTACTAGGGAAGGACTTCCCACTGATTTAGCCCGACCTTTATTTGTTGGACAACAGATTATTGCTCTCCATCCAAGGACAAGAGAGATTCATAATGGAAGTGTACTAACTGTTGATCGCAGTCAATACAGGGTTCAGTTTGGCCGATGTGATCTAGGGGTTGAGTTTGTCAAGGTAAATCTTTTTCTTGCAATTCTAATGATGCCTTATATCTTCGTTTTGTTTTTGTTGAAAAGGTTTTAAATATTTATATTCTTATTCAATAAAAGTGAACATCTTTGACATAAATAATTGGCACCATGGAGATATTTGTCTTGTACAATGAAGCTAGTTGTGGAAAAATGGCAAAACACCAAACGAAATTCTAGAGGCCCATGTCAGATTTTTAGTTTATTGTTTTTCTTACAAATATTAGACATGGTTGCCTCCTGAGACAAATTGCTCCTTACCATATTCTGCCCTCTCCCTTTTCAGTGGTTCTTGTATTATTCATGGCATAATACCTCGTTCATGACAGGATATCGATTGCATGCCTTTAAATCCATTTGAAAATATGCCTGCATCTCTTACAAGACAAAATGTTGCCTTCGGTAAATTTATTGAGAATCTCAATGAGCTCAAAATGTATGTGCAACCAAGAGAAAGGAATATGGAAGGATACATGAAATTCGCCCCATGTGAGAACCTGGAGAACACCAATGGTCCATCTCATATGTCCCCTTCGACTAATTATCACATCAACAATTTATTACAGCAGCAAAAGGTAAGTGGTTTTTAGAATCATTTTTTGTTGTACGTTTATAAAATTAGGTAAATCACAAACCGTTCATAATTTGATAATATATATCATATGGCTATTATCAAAATCTGTAACTTGAATGAAAGAAAGGGTGTTCTTTCGCTTTTCTGAAAACTAGTAATTTTAAATTATGTATTTGTTTCCTGGAATTGTTCTTATATGCTCAACCAAGTAAAACATTATACCAACCCTAATCCCCCCTCCCTCTTTCTCTTTGAGTACCTGTGTTCATGGCTCTATAATCTCATGCTTGAGCTAAGATTCCATAATTTTCCAGAAAAAGAATCATGCTTACCTTATAAAAGAGGAAACTATTTTGCTCAGGGAATTTTATCAAGCTATAAATGCAGGTTAAAGTTGGGCCTGGTGAAATTATTAATGCCCAGCATACGGCCTTGCAGCCTTCTATTACTGTGCAGTTCCAAGCGAAGCAAGCTGATGTCCAAGCTCTTTCTGAATTGACTCGTGTTCTTGACAAAAAGGTATGCATCTTGCGTTTGGTCATGCACCAACTTCAGATTTTTTTCCCCTGGCAGAATCCTTCTTTAATATGTATAGAAGTAATTCAAGAAATATGTCTCTTTTGTCCTTGTTTAAGTATCATTCTTTCCTAAATGTTATCCCTACCTTTTAAGTAATTCATGGTACTGCTATCCTGAAGTTTCAATTTTACATTGTCTTGGAGGCTTTATAATTTTAACATATCATCCCAGAGAATATCCATCTTGTAGGGTTTTATAGCTGCTGCACAAAAACCTTCCTGGTTGCTTCTTTTTTTAGAATGACCAGAGGTCTTTGAAACAATTCTAATGGTGCTCTAGTTTCATGATATGTAATTTTGGGGAAGAAGGTGTCTAGATTGTAGTTATTTGTTTGATATGGGTTGTATTCTATACTATATACCCCCACTCTCCACACCTTTTTTCTTTTTTTGAACTTATGTTTTCCATAGTATTATTAAAAGGTTCATCTAAAAATCATTTCACGTTCTGGATGATATTGATCTTGTAGGAGGCTGTGGTGTCTGAGTTGAGGCGCATGAATGATGAGGTGTTGGAAAACCAAAGGGATGGTGACAACTCTTTTAAGGATTCAGAACTTTTTAAGAAACAATATGCTGCTATAATCTTACAGCTAAACGAAGTCAATGAGCAGGCATGAATTATCCACAGACCACTTTTGAGATTCTTCCCTTTCCTTTATCGTGAAACATTTTACTCTAATAACGTAACACTTGCTTGACTTGATTTTCTTTTCAATACAGGTTTCTTCTGCTCTCCTTTGTTTGAGGCAGCGCAATACATATCAAGGGAACATCCCTCTTATATGGTCAAAGCCCATGGCCAGCTTAGGTGACCCCAGTGCCCACTCAAGCTCTTTTGATTACTCCGCATACCAAACCCAAGAATCTGGGTCTCATGTGGCTGAAATTGTTGAAAGTTCAAGAACTAAAGCCCAGAAAATGGTTGATGCTGCTGTGCAGGTAAGAAAGCCCACATAACTCTATTTCCGTCCTCATTGGCTCCTTATAGACATCTGTTATGCTTGAAACACTTTATAGACTAATAGTTCTTTCAGTTTTGTAATCTTCTCTTTTTTCTATTTTTAGTATTTCAAGTGAACCCTTGCATAGTTTGCTTTGTTTTCACACAGGGAAGGAAGCATTAGTCACTGTCTTGTGTAGATTTGTTCCCTTCGTTTTTTTTTTTTTCGATATCTTTGTGGATCTCTAGTCTACAGATGTACTTCCTCAATCTCTTCTTTAATATATAGTTATATTGTTTCTTATGAGGAAAAAAAAAAAAAAAAAAGGAAGTGAACCCTGCTTTTATCTCTGCTTTCTTCTCTTCATCTTCTTTTTTCTTTCTTTTTTTTTTTTTTTTTTTTTTTTTTTTTTTGGAGATGTTGGTTTTCCAAAGAAGTATTTCAAGGGTACATATGTAAAAATTTAACTATCACACACAAATCAGATTTACCTCTACCTTACTTGTGGGTCTCCACCTCCATTGTGGCCAAATGTTTGACCCACTAGTGAAGCCATTTTCCTTCTTAACTACATGACAAACGTAGGTCAGGTATTTAGCGCGTCTCAAGTGTTTTTTTTTTTTTTTTTTTTCCTTGGGTTGGAGGTGCTGTAGCACTGAGTGAGGACCTGATTTGGCCGCTTAAAGAGAAAAGTTTCTAAAGATGTCTGTTACATGGCAATGATTAGTTCTTGATCAATAGAATTATTAATTTAATATCCAGAAAATTGATAATCATCCTATCAGGTTGTCACCTAACCTTCTTAGCTCTAATACAGTGCACTTATTCTGACCGCATTAACCATTTCAGGCAATGTCATCTTTGAAAAGTGGAGGAAATGGCATTGAGAAGATTGAGGATGCCATGGATTTTGTAAAATAGGCTTTCAGTGGATGAATTAGGTGCCCTTCCACGTCTTCTACCCCGTAGATTCAGTTCACGGCACTCTTACTTCACGGGTTCAGGATCAGCTTAACACCTGCACATCAAACCCATTGGTGAATAATCATGCACCCGATTCTAAGTTGAACAATTTGTCTGATGAAAATGCGGCACAAATTCCTTCAGAACTAATTGCAAATTGTGTAGCTACCTTTCTCATGATTCAGGTAAACTTTATTATTGGTCCTAACTTAATTTTCTTTTCTTTTCTTTTTTCGTTTTTGGCAAGATTTAACATTTTATGTGGATAGATCTTAATATAAATATTCAAATTTCAAAACCAAAGAGTTGGGGTCTTCAACTTTATCATGTTAGTGATTACCCCCAACCTTGCAGTCTTGCACATCAGTTCTGTTTCTTTGTAAGGTATTTCCTGCTGTATTGACCTATTACATCAGTTATCTGGAGTATTCAACCGTTGGATGTAACAATTTGTTATCAATATTCACACTCACGATCACGAAGCTAAAATGTAAAGAAATAGAGAAACTGTAATTTATTCAAGTCGGACCAAGATGTGCTTACTTATATTCTCGTTGGATCAGTTCAAATATAATTACTTAATCATTTATTATATTTGAGTAGCTGATAAAAGTCATCGTTCCTCGCAGAATTTTCTAATTTATTTGTCTGGCTTTGATATTCGTTTTTTGTTCCTCTTTGAGTGTATTTTTGTGAAACAAATTTATGATTTTGGCTGTTAGATTCAAAACTATGCGCATAATATAACCAACTCTTATTGTCTTCATAAAAAAAAATGCAGAAATGTACAGAACGACAGTTCCCTCCCGGAGATGTTGCACAGGTACTAGATTCAGCTGTTACAAGTTTGCAACCATGTTGTTCACAGAATCTTCCAATTTATGCAGAGATTCAGAAATGCATGGGAATCATTAGAAATCAAATATTGGCTCTCATACCGACGACATAGTCCTCCCATTCTCGACATCTTGTATGTAAAATCTGTATGCTCTCGTGTTGAATTTTGTGTCATGTCAGGTTTTGAATGTGTCCATTGACACATTTTATTTGATAATTATTCTTATAAAACCTGAAATAGGGATTCTATACTTGTATCAAAATAGCGAAGAAAAACCTTTCAAAATAAGAGTAGCTGAGAAATTACGAGCGATTTATGTTTTCAGACTCTGAAGCAAACTGTGTAATTAATAATGATTCTCATGTTGTCTTCAATATATGCAATGGAATGGCTCCTTGAAATATAACACAGTTTAATACTTTAATCCAGACACCTTTGACATGACAATTCAATTTAGCCTCATTCTTCATTATTTACCGGTTTGTTACAAAATAAGAGCTGCATGAGCCAAGTTATTTTACTCTCACTTTCACGGTTTCACCCAAAAATATGATACGTGGTCAAAGCATTGTTAATCAATGTTTTAATAACCAATCCGGGGTGAAACCTAACAAAGTGATCGGGTCTTAAGTTGACTGGTTTGACCCATCGGTCAAATTATTGTCCAAAAATTAAAAATATAATAAAAACATTCCTAAAAATTACATATAAGTCTCTACAAATTTAAAATCTTGCAAAAACACCCCTAAATATCATTGTTGGTGTCAACAAACTAGGGCAAATAGGGCCTGTTTTTGGCAACGACAACACTCTCCATCACCACGAAAACAGTCCCCTCAACCTTCTGATCGAAACCCATATCACCCCTCCCTCGATTGCCTCGCCAATCAACAGCAACAACCTGCTGTTGCCGCTAATTTAGTTTTGCGATTTTCAATCGATTCACTCATCAGAAATCACCTTCGTCGCCACCATTGCACTCACTGACCCTTCCTCTTCAAAAACCCCAACATCCCCTCCTTCAATTATTCGCCGATCACTGTCTTAATTTCTAGGGTTTTCGATGAATAGGAAAATTGCTCAGGTCCCAGTTGAACCGGTTCAAATAGCTGAGCCGAGCCGGATTTTAAAACATTGCTGTCAATAACATGATATATTTTCCTCCGCCTTTGCATTAAAAAAAGAAAAAAAAAAGTAATTTTTATGGGCAAATATTATAATACAAGATGCCAAAAATTTTAAGTAGCACCCAAATTTTGCTTTAAGATGATACTCTTGTCTCTTGAAATTCAATGAATATATCAGACCTAATTCAGGTTTTGAAGGAATTCGACAACTGTTTCAGGAGGGTTGAGTTAAAAAATTTGAGGTATTCGACCGAGCAGTATCGTTGACAGACAAATGACAACCATCAACGGAATCCATTACAAACTTGACAACATGCGATTTGCAAGATTGAAAATGGTTGTCATCGTCTAAAACAATAAAATTTTGCAAGTCCAGTATTTTCAGTGGTTCAGCCGACGGACTGATACTTAGCATCAGCACAACCTATCTCATTCCATTGAATTGAAGGCATTTTAAATCTCCTGCTTCGCCGGAAAACTGCCGCTACTGATCCCCAGGTAGATTTTTCAAGCAACATACTGGTTCAATGACAAAATAATCACAATTTCTTTTTGGGCCCTTTGAAAATAGTACCCTCATCATCTTTCACCATCTGCAGCAGAACAGACATCACTATCAACATACCACAAGAGCAAAAGAAAAAAAAAATGCAAACACCAATAATGGGATATCACCTGTTGTTTTTTCTTCTTCTTTATTTTCTCTTTTTTCTTCTTTTGCTTTTTCTTCTTGAGTTTCTTTGGATCAGCATTTCCAACTTCTACTTCTTCAAGTGAATCCTGCCAAATTCACAAACCAATGAAGAAATGATAAACAAGAATATTTCAAAAAGTCTTTATATCAATTCTAGGAATATTAACTCAACTCACCACAGAATCACCGAACGAAGTCACATGTCGAACCACTCTTCCTGAATTTGAAGAACCACCTATGTGTAAAAGAAAAGACGAAAAATCAGACTGGTTTCAACTCAAAAACTACTTGCTACATACAGAAAAGCAAGCCAAACCATTTATGAGTATCAAACACAACCACATAGTCAGAGCCTGAACAATGTAGTGAAGATGTTTTGGCTAATTTGGAGCTTCATGGCTACTCATATGTCACATCCGGATTTTCTCACAATAGAGTAACGGAAAACCTAATGAACCAATATATTCTCTCATCATCAGAACAACTGATTGAAAAAAAAAAAAAAAACCAGTGAAGTCTTTCCTATTTTGCTTTTATCCAAAACTCCCCGAACCAGCTTAGTGAAACTCAGAGTTCGAAATCTGGCCCTTGTCTAACCTTTCATTCTCTGAGAACACAGACCGTCTAAACTCAGTTCCCATAACTATTTTTTTTGTCCCTTTTTATAAGAAACTATGAAAGACCATCATAAAATGGTTGTCATCTGATGAATGAATTGGTCCCTAATTATGCCTCTGGAAGTTTGTCTTACATTCTGTTACTTCCACCTAACTGAAAAACACATAATTATAAACTCAAGAAACCTAACTTATCATTTGATTTTCGTTCAAACATCTCACTCTTTATCACAACAATCGATACATCCAGCATTACATTACAAACCCAGACCAATAAATTGGCATCAAAATAACCCGTTCAGTAGTTTCAAGTAATTAAATTGCCAAACAATTATGAAATAAATAAATAAAGGGCATACTTGTTATGACAGTGTCTTGGGCATTCTTGACGGCCAATTCAAGAAGATCTGGGTTGATAGAAGACAACCCACTTGGATCTTTGAGTTTTCTCTCAAGGAACTTGGCTAAAGCCGCCGCCTTGTTCGTGGTCAAAGGTCCACCTGGGTGCGCCAACCTGTCCACAAGCGTATATGCGTAAATTTCAAGAAGAAAAGTTTAACTTAGAAAGAAAAAATGAAAAAAGCGAAACCTGGGTTGGGAACTGGAAGAAGAAGAGGGCAGAGAAGGGAGAGGAGCAAATTTGCTGCCTCTCAAAGCCCTTCTTTCTTCTTCACTTAGTTCTTCCATCTCTTTCATCTTTCTCTTCAAATTCTCTAAATTATAATTGTGACGAAACGACTCCGGTTCAGCTTAAATGTTCCACTTCATAATATACGAAGGATTTAATGCGTTCCTTTAACTCAATCTGGTTTACTTAATTTATAATTTTTTTTTTTTTTATTTTCGCTAAGTGTCCATGCAGATTGAGTATAGTCTGAAGGAATATTAGATAAATCCTCTCAAAAAGATAGGCCGAACGACTTGCGTATACCCAAGGTTTTTCGTAACGACAATTGGTATCTAAATGTTTGGAAACGACAAATAGGTAATATCCGTTACGTGTTGTTAGTGATTTCTTGTAACATCCACTTGAGGTACGTAGTTAAGACTTGATGATGATTGAATGTTTATTGATTTACTCTCATTTGAGTTTGTATGTTGTTAATGTTTGGTTTGGTTGAGTGGTTGCCCTCAAATTTGTAAAGACGTGCGAAATTTTGATGTTACAGTCTGCGCGGGGCGAAAAAGAAGCTTCGCTGCGGCGAAGAGGTGCTATAACCCCCGGTGTAGCTGTATAAGTTTTCGCCGCGGCGAAGACTCGGCTGAAAATTTCCTTGAGTTTTTAGAGAATTCTTCCTTTGGGACATAATGACCATTCTACCCCTTATTGGCAGAAAAGGGGAATTGAAATGTAAGGAAATTGCATGGAGAATAGTTTATTGGGGGTGCATTTGCAAAGAATTAAAGGACAAAGATGAATTCCTAAGAAAGAGTAAGGGTAAGATGGAAAAGAGGGGAGAAAATATTAGATATTAAGGGTTTAGTTTTTACAAAACCTTCTCATTTCTTTCTTTCCACCGCCTCTTTCATCCTTCAATCTTCTCAAATTTCATTCAACTTTTTAAGGATTTTTGGAGGGGTTTGGCTAGAAGTTGATACAAGTTGATCCTAGCATCTAAGGTAAGAATCCTTACTCTAGATGTGAATTATTGGTATAAGAGTAGGATCCTATTGAGTTTGTGTTTAAGGTTTAAGAGAAAGTATCAAGCCATCAAGAGTGGAGAGCTTAAGTGGATTCTACTTGAGTTTAAGGTAAATAATCCACTAAGTGTGATTTGCATGATTGAATGATGTGTAGAGATTTCTATATGATTTAATTGATTGAATTTTTATGTTTGTCATGTATTGATGGATTTATGAATGAGTTTATGTTGTTTATGAAGAGAATTCCACCATGAAAATGGTGGATTGTGTTGATAAAAGTTGGTAGAAGTATGGATAAAATTGAAAGAATTTTGAGGGAATATTTGAGTGTATTTCCTTTGCAGGAGTGTGATGAATCAAAGGAGTTGAACTCCAATTTTGGATGGTTAAGAAAGAAGTAGAATTATAGTAAGGTAGAGTTTATGTATGCACACATATTGTTTGATGAAATGCCTAAAAGAAGCATGAGTAGAAGTAAAGAACCTTACTTTATGCAACATAGCATATTTGCATTTCATGAATACATATAAGAAAGTTCTAGGCATGAGCCATCCATATATGTTTATTTGAATAATCACCTAAGAAAGAAATATGAGAATGAGAAAGAAACACTCTAGAATAGAGATAAAGAAAAGAAATAATTCTCTTAGATAAGAGAAAGAAGAGTTAGCACCAGAGAAGTGCTAAAGAAGAGAAAAGAGAATAGGTTGTGTGATGGGGAGCCCGTGAGTGTAGAAATTAACCACATGTAACCGCCATGAGAGAACGGAATGAGAATGAGAAAAAGAATTCATATAGCCGTGAAAATACATGTGGGTGAGGGTATACAAGAGAGAGAGTACACTTACATGACTAAGGGTTCCGAATCCATGCATCAACCAAGACCGATCGGGGAAGAATAAGAAAGAATAAGAAAACATGAGAAAATAATAGAAGAAAAGAAAAGAGAGATGATTGTTTGATTAGTGCATATGCATTCCATCCATGCTGTTATTAGAGATTCCATGGGTGATGAGATAGAAAGAAAGAAAAGAATAGCGGGAGCTAGAGTAGAATAAGAAAAGATGAAGAGTAATACACAGGGACTATGGAATAAAAGATTTACTACTGAGCATCTTGTGCTCATCCCGTTGTTTCTATGTTTTTACGGTCATAGGTGAGGACTTGGTCGGATGGACGTCGGCAACGGGGAGACTTGGCCGCACTGTTACTGTTTTGAGGGTCTTTTTGTACAAATGATATGTACTTGTAAAAAATGTTATATTAAGTAAAGAAAATTTTTGGGTCCAACATTTTGATAAGTATAACTTGTCTTTTCATTATATATTTAATGATTTTGATAGTAAAAAGAAGTGTACATTTCTGTTTGTTAATAGTGAAAAGACTAAAATGCCCTTAAAAGTTTGATATTTTAGTTTTCTAAACACCCTATATATAAAAGTTTGTTAAATGACAAAAACACCCCACCACCCACAGTGGCAGATTCGGCCACCACATGGAAACTGGCCAGGAAATTGCGTTACGACACAGACTCGTCGGATCTGTGTCGTAACGTGTCGATCTGACCTTTTCCGGCAGATCCGCCATTCGAGGCAGCAGATGGAGTTTTGTGGCCTCGACGGCCAGATCGTGGCTGATATGGCTGGAAAAGGCTAGATCTACGACTAGATCTTGTCGTCGTGGCCGCCAAACTCCATCTGCGGCGTCGACGGCAAGATCTAGTGCGTAGATCTGGCCTTTTCCGGCCATATCAGCCAGGATCTGGCCGTAAAAGGCCATATTGATGCTTTACGACACAGATCCGACAGGTCTGTGTCGTAACACAATTTTCGGCCAGATTCCACAGTGGTGACCGGAATCTGGTACGCAGATGGTGGGGGTGTTTGTTATTTTAACAAACTTTTTATATATGGGGGTGTTTAGTTAAATTAGCAAACCTATGGGGTTTTTTAGAAATTTTTAAATTTATAAAAAACTAAAATATCAAACTTTCAATGACATTTTAGTCTTTTCACTGTTAATAAACAGAAATCACTAACAGCACATCACAAAAGGTATTTGTTTATCATTTCAAAACCTTTTAGATACCACTTTATCGTTACGACAAACTTTGGGTATGCGTAAATCGTTTGGCCCAAAAAGACATCTCTATTAGTACTAAGAGAACTCAAAGTCGAGAACCCATGTTAAAGCCTGTACTGTTTTACCATCAAACTATCCAATAATGATTAATTTTATAATTTGTTATTTCAAGCATTAGTTTACATACCTGCATCTGTTCTTTTATCTTATAACATTTAGTTGAGTTGATGAGCAAATGATTTATCAGAAACTGTTGAAATTCATTATCATAGTTGAATTTTGTTTCAGAAATCTTTAGTTCATATAAAAAACATAAAAGATCCAAGAAGTAAAAGGCAGCCAATAATAACCTTTGATGAAGCAACCATAACCCATAAGAAGTGAATAATAAATGTTGGTTCCACGACTTTTCACTTGTAACTTTCGTAGCAGAAATTAACAATTACAGGTTTCATCATCTCATACTCCCCAAGAACATGGCGGCATCTACATTAATGGCACAAAGTTTTAACAATAATAATTATATGGGCAGAGGGGAGATGAGCAAATTTTTGGAGAGGAACTAAATCGTCTCAAATTACATGCCTCTTTTTTCTTTCAGCCTAAAATTCTAAAAATATGGCATTCAAGAACAAGAGACGCCATTCTTCCTTGATAAATTTTTTACCAAACAACGATCAAATCATCGTGTGATGTACTGCAATCGCTTTTTAACACATAGGCGCAAACTTTGCACATAAGTTGTGGAGAATCCAACACCACTGCACTTTAGATTGAAATTCGGCTGTTATTCTTAATTAACCAAGCAGGAACCTAAAAATGTCACTGATTGAAACTATGCCCTCCACACGCTTACTGCCAGCCTCCACAATCACAAGCCGTCGAACACCTGAAATCCAAGGTAAATGCACAATTAACCTAGTAGATATACGTTGCAGCGCAATTCACACCTTGAAGGCAACCAATATTATCAGTTGGGCAATACTAGCGTAATGAGAATGGAAAGCAACAGTGGAAGTGGCATGTCGAGATTTAAAAACTAGTACATAGAATTCAAACAGTTGACAACTAGACATAACACAAGAATACATGATACATAAATAATTCATGCAGGCTAAAGCTTTTGGCCAGACGTCATGTTAAAATTCAGACTCAACATACTTTTTGCATCACATTTTATTGGCAATGTATATATTGGAAATAGCTTCACAAAATTCCCTGTAATCATGCTTGTAATGAGAGAAGACAGATAATGAGCATCCAAATTTCCTTTTTCTCCATAAGGAAATAATGAACTAACTCTGTATTGAAGAAAAAAAGCTATCTTTTACAATGAACATTTAATTATGAAAGCATCCAATTTCTGTTACGGTGGGTGAACACGTTGGAATTGCAAAACTTGAAAGCTACAAATGAAAATTATAAATGACATATAAGTCTATGCACAATATAAGAAAGGAAAAAAAGAAAAGTATTCCCAAACAACATGTTCAAACAAAGGTGAAATAGAACGTTATTAATCATCATTATTTAACAAAAGTAAAGATGCACATTGACAAAGCTAGCTCTATTCATGCTGCAAGCAGTTAGATAAAGCTTTCTGATAAAAGTGTTCCAAAGTAAGATTTCTCCATGGTGCCTTATAGTGTAGTACAGCCATATAAACAAAGGAGGCTGACAACACACAAATATCATAACAGATTAATAAAATTACAGAGTCTAATTGCAATCCTACAACCTTTAGCCAATATCACTAGAAAATCTTCACAGTTGAAAGAAAAAAGTGCATAATACAAAAACAAAAATAAAAAGAACTAATTTACCTGGATTTGCCAAACGCTCCATTACTTTATGCAACGAATCTGATTGCAAACACATCTGACATCTTTGAGTTCTAAGCTCATAAGGAGAATACGAGTCTTGTCCCAATTGCAATGCCTAAATTTTATTTAGTAAGGTGAACAGAGAAAGAAAATGGAGTGAGCCAAGTTCTCTGTTGGCAAAATGTTAGATAATTTTTAATCTGAACTTGCTGTAGACTACGGATTAAATTGCATCAACCAAAGAAAGCTGAAATGCTAAAATATATTTTATACCTAACAAAAGCAAAAATCATCAAACTATAAGTGTACCTTCCCCTTCTAATCACTGCAGCATACAATACTGTATTAATATTACTATTTTACAAAGAATTAAACGTGAAGTTATTCTACCTGATGAATAGTCATTTCGTTAAGATTAATATGGGCATAAGCTCTGTCCTTCGCCAAAGCAGTTATGTCACTGTATAAAAGTAACGATTATTACTCCCGATTAAAGAGCCAAAAAAAGGGTTCCAATACCAGAAATGTACATCCAAAAGCAACACTTACCTCCGACAGTATATATCTAATAATGAGTCATTATCATCAACTATTGGTATCGAACTTACTTGAGCTGCAATAGCAAAGCGCACAGTGAAATATTATGAGATTGTTGCAAAAATAGAAAAATCAGGTAGCAGTCTAAATCTAAATTATTGCATTCATTAACATTTTTTACCAACCCAATACAACTTCTAGCATCAGTACTAACTAATACAAGAACTAACTTATTCCAAGGAGAAAAAATAATCCAAGAAGTAAGAGAAAAGGCATAGCATAACAATAAACCTACATCCAACCAAATAGTTGTAACTTCATCAAGACTAATGAAGAAGCCCCTTGATTATAATTAGGTTCTTGTAAAGGAAAACACCAGGTAATTGGAATCATTGACATTCAACTTCCAAAACAACACTAACTTTTTCCCTTGCAACGTACTCTCTCTTCCGTTTAATTTTCTGAAATAGCTGAAATAAAAAAACACACCTTGAACTAACAAATTTAATGCTGAACTAAGGGTAGCACTAGGTCTCAACATTGCTAATGGTCGTTGAATAGGTTCTCCAATTTTTGGAACCCATGTACCCACAGGAATCGCACAAATTGGTACTTTTAGTATGGGCAATGAGTCAGAACAATGCCTAAAATATCTGCAAATACCTGAAAAATTAAGATCCATCAGTCAGAAATAAGTTATGGAATATTCCTTAAACAACAAACCAAAAAAGCTTACATTTTAGTATTCCACAGAGTGAAGCAAGATGTAATAGCTGGGGAAATGAACCATCTTCTGAAGCTGAATGGATTATGGGAACTGTAGCCACCTCATTTTGCAAAATTTTCAAAGCAACGTCCTTCAAGTTGTCATTGGGACCAGCCTGCACAATCAACAAATATTGGGGTCAACATAAAGAGCAACCCATACAAGATAACACCAGAAGATGCTGGCTTTCTTCAACTGTGCACCAGAAGCAGAAAGAAACTAAAAGATGGGTCAGGTGTAAATGGATAAACTTAAAGAACTGAAAGCGCAGGATCATCAATCCAAGCTTCAATCCATTGTATCCAATGTGATGTATTTTAAGAAACTAAGACATAGTACACTTCACATGGGAGCTTCATGTGCATATACAGACATGCAAAAAAAGTTATCACACAAATTGTACTCAAATATTAAAATAGAAAATCTTCATTATTAGAGCTCTCCCAGCATTTTTGCTCTTCGATAATCCATTTATCTTTTCCCTTTTTTAATAAAAGATTATTGTTTCTTACATAAAAAGTCTTAAAATAGAAAATCAGAATGGACCAATAACATATAACAGATATGAGCATGGTACACAAATCACTTACATGGATGAGAGGTCTTGAAAATGCCCTACCACGGCCATCAATTTGTCTGCTCAAATATGCTTTCCCCTCTTTCCAGGCTGAAATGGTGTGTGTTTCAAGCTCTTCCTCTGTCAGATTTGACCCACGATTTCCAAGCTGCATGTAAAATGTACTTTACACAATGGACATAAAAGATATAATCCCAATTGTAACAAGCTTTGACTAATAATTCCAGCATAAAACAACAACATCCACAATGCAAAGCAAAAATGGTCACCAAAGATTCAAGTTAAAATCCCAAAGAACTTCTAGTACCTTTGAACTTTTTACATCTAAATAGATAAATTTAGCTGAAATCATTTTGCTTTCCCAATTATTAGTTCTAAAGAAGTAGAACAACCATCACATTGCATTATAAATTTACATCAAAGAAAGAATGTAGCATGAAGGGTTGGGTTTCTCTCTTCCAGTCTGTAGTTCCACAATCTGATGGATTAGCGATTCAAAATCATCAAACTTTTCGACGATTTAGTCTACCCAAGAAATCATAAAGAAAAAGTAAGTAAAAAAACTCACAAACAGCAAAAAAGTAATCATTTACTTACACACGTACCTCTCTTAAAATCAATATAAAATCCGATGCACTAAGAACTCCAACAAACCGTCCCTTGCAGAAGTCCCAAAGTGGAGCCATGGAGATACCCTGGAAACAACTTGACTCAGAACAAATGCATACCCAAGCTCTTTATCAGCAACAAATAAATTGCAGCAACAAGTCTTGTTGTGCAAGATAAAATAATAATGTTTCAAGCTCTCTTTTTTCACATCCTAATTTCTACAAATCCAACATTAATAAACTCCAAAACGGAAAAACTGATGGGAGATAGAATAAAAAAGGCAAGCCAGAGACGGACAAACTTCTTGGTAAGACTGAGCTCACAGGAACTTAAGAATGATTAGTCAACCACCTCCAAACACAAATTCCTTATTGCACAACGAAATCACTAACCCCACTGTCAAGAAAATATTATTTTGATACCTGCTCGTATAGAATATGAAATGCTTGTTTTACAGGTAGATCAATGTCCAACGCTACAACCTGTCAATGAGGTGTATCTAAATTAGGAAAAAAGTGGTACTAATATTTTTTTAATCATGTTCAAGTACACTATCAAATGTAGATCTCATGTAGGGTCAAAGGGTCGATGGTAAAGCATCCAAACCTTGCCTGACTCGGGAAGTAACTCATAAGCAGTGTGTGTAGATAAGAATCCAGATACACGATGACGGGAAACCTGCAATTCAGCTTCTGATAACCTTGGCATTACCTCCGTCAAAGTACCATCAGAAATCCGAACCTGCATGTCAATAAGAATGCCAAACCATTTAAAAATCTCAAATTTGGTGAAAGAGAGCCCGAAATTAATAAACAAAAAAATCCTATAGTACAGTCTGCATGAGCATGAAATAAGTAGTATAATGCAAACGCCAGATGGCAATCATATAGACTGTCTAAGGTGAAACCTGAGTAATGACAAGGTAAGGCAATGAGTAAGCAAGTATATAGCACCGAGTTAAAATCTGAATTGCATCCTAATTCTTAAGGTCAACATCTTTGTCTAACACCCTTCACTGTAGTAAAAAAATACAATGAAACAAGACAAGAAGGGCAGCACCAAGTCTCCAAGTGATAAATGTCAACTCCGGAAATCTGACTGGCTAATTCTTTATAGGAAACATAAAGATATATATTAAAGAAGAAAAAGGAGGCACACGAATGGACCAGACAACCACACCATAAATAAAAACAATACAGGAGGAGGAACAAAAACTATACAGCAATGTCTGAATGCATCTGAAGCTGTCTATTCACTGAAAGCAAAGAAACGTTAGACCCCTGCATCAAAAGCACCCCCATGAATACAAACTAACTTAGAACCCCTTCCCAATTAAGATAAATAAAGAAAAAGTAAATATATTTATGCATAACTAACTCTTACCCCACGTTGAAATGCTTCATTATCCACATCCATGTTAGATCCAGAAGGAACAGATGGATTAATTCCAGACATGAAATTAGGTTCTGTAGTTAAAAGCACAGTGTTCACAATCCCATATTCACTACTCGTGTAAGGTTGGTGGTCATCATGTCGCCATTCTCCATCAACACAAAACTTAAACTGCAGGTTATATAGTTATAAAAAAAAGTACATAAGTTTCCAGCATCAATTATAAACAAAAGTTTTATAGTAAAAAGTCAAGAAGTGTAGGTCTCCAAACACATACTAAATCAGGTCCAAATCCATATTTCAAGATATTAATTCATGTGAAAGGACATGTCATTGCTTATCAAGACCATGGCATAATTCAATTTTAATTTCTGACTTCTAAACTAGCATTCTCCAATGAAGAAGTAAGAGCACAGGGTAACTGCAAGCGTAGTAAAATGTGAAACTCGTCTCACATCTGCCAGTTGTTCTCAATTGTCATTGCTATCACTACAAAGTTGTCTCCATCTCTAACTTCTGTTACAACCACTCCATTAATTATTTCTCAAACAACAAGTGTACTACACAACATATTCAAAACAAAAACTAGTAATTCTTAAGCGAGGAAACATGAACCAACAGTATAGCTCACTCATTTCATTCTCATTGATCTCTTCTACAACACTAACTCACCGGTAATTAAGACATGCTTGTCTTAACCACACAAGTCCAAAAATCCCTAAGATTGTTACCCCAATCACGAAATTTAAAGCCATAAACTCGTATCTCTTTGATCTCGGTAACAGAAACAGCAGCAAAAGCCATGGGGGTATGCGTAAATTGACCTCAGCACCTCATAAATATAAACACCATTTACCACCACTACAACTCAACAAGTTCAAAAGATAAAGAGTAGAATATAAGAAAGTCTAATGCTAAAAAAACTAACCTGGTGTAAACCTGGTGGTACACTCCAAATAATCTGAAATACAGTAGGGCAACCTTCCACCGGCGACATTGGTAAAAGCTCAGACCACCTTCACAACACCAACAAAAAAAAAAAAAGAAAAACAAACCCGTGAAACAAATAATAATTTAAAAAAAAAATTAAGTTGATAAAGTTGTTACCCATTAAAAGAACCGCTTAAAAAAACAGTTCTTCCTCCATAAGGCCAAACGAACCGCATTGGAATGAGTACGGCACCTGAAACTCCGCTGGTTTCCCGGGCAGCATCCATGCCCGGATTAAACATTTGCCCCGAATTCATAAATTTATGTTCCAAAAATACCCCTCCTTTCAATCAATTCTTCCAAGTATCAGTGTACCTTCCCCTTTTAATCACTGCAGAAAATATTGTACGTCAACTGCGAAATTGTACGAATTTGACAAGTAAAAAAATTAATTAAAAAACCCTAACTTCGACAGAATCAGAGCTGAACTCACCAAAATATAAGCAAAACTAAACCCTAACAAAGAAGAAAAAGAAGTAAGAAACAGAAACCGATTGAATGTGATATAATGTTGAGAAGAAGATCGATAATTGAGAGAGATTGATACGATCGAATCTGATTTTCTTTTCAAATTCTTTAAAAAAAAATAGGGAAATTTTGATAGGGACGTTGAATAATAATAATAACAAAAAAAAAAAAATTTGATAAAAGAATAATTAAAAAAAAAAAAAGAATAATCGTTGTAGTGAAAATAACAAGGAGAGAGTCCAGTCAGTCACAAAACGCAGCGTCGTGTTGTGATAGAGAGAGAAATGGCACTAGTGGCGGTGATGATGATGATGAGATGGTCAGATGATGATGATGTATTAATTAGTAACTGGTAAAACTGTAAAAAGGAGAATCGGAGGGAGGGACTGCTGGCGGTTTTTTTTATTACGTTCGTCGTTTTGTTGAATCTCTTTTGTTCGTTTCGTGGTATCTCTCAGTCTGCACGTGCGGATCATGAGAGGGGGCGACACAAAATCAAGGAATATAAATGGGGGTATTTTGTTTTTTAGTGAGAAATATATTGGCCTAGGTTGGTTTAAGCCTTAGATTCGGCTTTCGTTTTTGGTAATTTCATTTTATGGATTCGTTTTTCATTTGCGTTCTTATGGAAACCTTAAAACCCCCCTACTTTATTTATTTCCCTTTCTTTTATTGTAAACTTCTTTGATCCCTCTTTATTCCTCCTTTAAATTTTCTACTATTAATATATCCCAAGTTTTCAAATTTATCAAACACCTCCCCCTACTAAGGGTCTGTTTGGTAGAACTTTTATAAACAATTTGTGAGTATTAATTTACTAAAGATTAAATACACAATAACAAATCAAGTCAAATTTATAAAATAGAATTAGTATATTTTGAAATTTCAACACTATTATGCCCAAAAACCAGGGCTGGCGTAAGCATAAATCAACAGAAATCAATAAGAAATCAGTAAGGTATTCTACCGTCTGGATGCAGCCACGTCCCGCAAGGACGAGAGGGGTAAGGTCATCGTTAGTGAGGTAGGTAAACGCCAAACTTATGAGTGGCTGAGAATTGTCCACCTGCTGAAACCTTACGCAATTTAAGGATATTTCTTTTGTAGACAACCAATGGGAAGCGGGTTAGGAATTTTACCACACCTGCCCACACTCAAAATCATGATTACCAGCTTGATTCCTCCAACTAAAAATAGAGGGCTCTCATCTATTTTACAGGATTGACTCATCCACTTCTCTCTCTCTCTCTCTCTACATTTATTTTACTATTGTAATTCAGCTCGCCGAGTGCGACCTGATTGTAATCAACCATTAATATAATCATAATGGACGTAAGATTCGCCTTAGAGCATCCGAACAACTTTAAAAATTGTTACCTGTTCAGCATCTCTTTTTATACTTCCATACCATGTGTGATTTCTGAGTCCGCTTAGCACTTCTCACGTGTGAATAATTGGTGTCAAAATCAAGCATCAACAGTTTGGCGCTAGAAGGAGGGCGTGATTTAGTATCCGCTCTTCATCAAAAACCTCTGACCGATCCTGTCCACAACTAATGGCTTGCGGTTTTGAAACTGAGCGAACTAATATCGACAATGAGGAAATCCCCTAGGTACAGAATGACACTTCTCCTAAAGTGCCGCCAGTTCAGTAGAGTATCATGGCAGATATTCCTTTGAGCTCGCAACTTAACCTGCCCGTCATGAATTACCTGGAGAGGTCATGCCACTGGAGTCTAACGAGGTGGTGCCACAGCCAAAGATGCCTGTAGGTCATGCGAAAGTACGAAAAAAGGGTAACGGCATGAACCGCGCGCACTGTATCGCGTAAAAGTAAGGGGAAACAAGTGGCGAGCAGTGGACCAGAAGGCTCCTAAGGGCTAGAAAACACCGGTTGCGCAGCGGGTAGAATACCTATGGCATTGCGACTTGATGACATGTCGCAACACGAGCCGTTCCACGCCACGTCGTATGGGCACACCCGTAAAAGTGCAAGGCTGGGAGATTCCCAGCCTCATCAAAATAATGGTCCCGACCATCGCCATCGGGATAACCCCCACCGTCTACGAGTCGGTTCTGACCACCGCAGGGGTCAAGAAAATTCCCTGAGCCATTCGCTATCCTCACATGGCTCTAGCCAACGTGTGTCAGGGTACGTCGAAGCTTTCGGCCTAGCAGCGGAAGGGCCCGACCTCTAGTCCTTCCTCAATCGCAACCGTGAGAGTCGAACCCACATTGTGGAAAGTAACCCTCGGTAGCTCTGCTATCTCAGATTGAGGAGTTGCATCGATAATTGGATCAGTCAAGGCTCAACAAAACGAACAGGGTAAGGTCACTGAGGCGTCCCCCTTTTCCCCAGCAATACTAGCCGCTCCTCTCCTATCAAGATTCAAGATGCTCGACATGCGGGCATTCGATGGGAATTCTGATCTGCAGGACCATCACTATGAGTTCAATGACCTTATGGAACTCCACCAAGTCTCTGACTTGGCCAAATGCAGCTGCTTAGTAGTGACATTAATCGCCCATAAAAAAACGCTGGTTCAAGTCGCTCCCCGTGGGATCAATCAGCTCATGGCAACAAATAAGCTTGTTATTTTTTAGGCACTTCCAGGAAAACAGGAAGTTCTCAAAGCCGTTGAGCTATCTGAGCAATATACGGCAGGAGAAGGATGAGTCTCTCCAATCTTATATAGATAGGTTTCACCGCGAACTCCACAAAGTGGCTCACATTCCTGAAGAATCTGTTAGGACTCTCATTATTGTAGGGGTTCGCCCTCAGACTGACTTATGGAAAGAGTTAAAATCTAAGAACGATATTTCTCTCACTCGCTTCTACGACCTCACCGAGAAGTATCTCCGAATAGAAAATTTTGTGGCTGCTCTCAAATGCCACAACCCCAATTCTTCAACCAATGTTCCCGACCAGGGGGAGAACAGTAGAAGGGTTGATCGTGGTTGGGCTAATGACGACCAGCGAAAAGGAAAAAAGCAGCGATTTGAGCCCAAAAAGTATATGCCCTAGTTCCTCGTCGCGATGGCGACAAAAATCAACACACTCATTTGAATGTCTCAGTATCGGCAATTCTAGATAAATCAGAGGAGGTCAGCCTGCTTGGAGAGCCAAAGCCTATGAAGAATCCCCTCTCAATCAGGAATAACAAAAAGTACTGTCACTATCATTGGGATAATGGGCATCACACTAATGAGTGTCGAGCTCTCAAGCAAGTGATTGAAGACCTCATCAAATAAAGGCACTTCAAGGAGTATATTAACGGTCCGACTCCCATTCGAGAGAAGGATAAGAGGAACAAGGGAAGAAGCATAGTGGTCGCAAGGGGCTCTACTATGTAGGGATCATTTTCAGGAGCCCGCACCTCATAGGGAACTCTCGAGATGCCCAGGAAAGGTATGCCCGAGAAGCTCGCCATGACCCCTTGAGTGTAATGAACACGGCATCACGACATGCTAAGATCCACAAGGAAGAAGAAATTACCTTTTCTGAAAATGACGCAGTACGATTGCATCATCCTCACGACGATGCACTCGTCATCACACCTGAAATAGGCCGGTGCGAAGTCCACAAAATGTTGGTGGACAATGGAAGCGCCGTGAATATCCTGTTTCAGCAAGTCTTCGAAAGAATGCAATTGGACAAGGCTGACTTGAAGCCTACCTCCTTCCCCCTCTACGGTTTTACTGGGGATCACCTGATTCCTAAAGGAACGATTGCACTCTCCGTCAGGTTAGGTGAAACCAATGAGGTGACCAAGGTGACAGAGTTCTTGGTGGGAGACTGTCCGTCCACCTTCAATGGCTTCCTAGGATAACCTCTGCTATGAAATTTTAAGGTTTTCAAGTCTATCTACCATTTGAAATTAAAGTTCTCCACCCTGACGGGGATCGGGGAAGTGCAAGGATCCTAACATGAATCCTACGACTATTACATAAGGGCAGTCCAAATGGCATGCAAGGGAAAGGGAAAAGGAAAGCCAATAGGCTCCCCCGAGCACGTCATGACAATCAGAAAAATTGAGCCACGACCTGGACCAACAGAGGACAACATGGATCCTTGCATCCCAGAATACCCTCACAGCGGGCCAGTTGAGGACCTATCTGAGGTATCAGTCGATGAAAGCGAGCTGACCAGAGTATTAAGGATTAGAAGTAATCTCAAACCCCAGCTCGTCGAAAGCCTAACGAGCTTCCTTAGAGAAAATGTCGATGTTTTTACATGGACTCACGCTGATATGGTCGGGATCAGCCCGAACGTAATATATCATGCACTAAACATTGATAGCGTGGCCAAACCGGTTCATAAACGCTATGCTGCCTTGAAAATTGAGGTGGATAAGCTCCTCTTGAATAGGTCTATTCGAGAGGCGCTTTACCAAAGCTGGGTTGCCAACCCAGTCTTGGTAAAAAAGCTCAACGACAAATGGCGAACCTGCTTCGACTTCACCGACTTCAACAAAGCCTGTCCGAAGGATATCTTTCCCCTGCCAAGGATCGACCAACTCGTTGATGCCACTTTTGGGCATGAGCTGCTGAGCTTTATGGACGACTACTCGAGATATAACCAGATCCTGATGTACACATCAGACAAAGAGCATACCTTGTTCGTTACAGATCGGGGACTGTATTGTTACAAGGTCATGCCCTTCGGCTTGAAGAACGCTAGGGCAACTTACCAGTGACTGGTCAACCGTATATTTTCTGAACAGATCGGCAAAACGATGGAAGTCTATGTTGATGATATGCTAGTTTAGTCGCATGTCACTTCAGATCACACAGCGCATCTTGCTGAAATGTTCGACGTGCTGTAAAAGTACAAGATGAAGCTCAACCCTCTCAAGTGCTCATTCGAGATATCCTCAGGAAAGTTCCTAGGGTACATGGTTAACCAGCGGGGAATCAAAATCAACCCCGAAAAGATCAAAGCTCTCCTCGATATGAAAAACCCCATTAGCAAAAAGCAGGTTCAGAGCCTGAATGGCAGGATAGCGGCTCTAAGTCGCTTCATATCGAGAGCAACGGATTGTTGCTTGCCATTTTTTTAATGTGCTTAGGGCTAAAAAAAATATGAATGGACTCTAGAGTGTGAACAGTCCTTTCAGAGTATAAAAGAACACCTCGGAAGACCACCTCTCCTATCCAAGCCTCTTCCTAAGGAAATTCTACTCCTATACCTGTCCGTCTCCCAGCATGCAATCAGCGTTGCTCTCATTCGAGAAGAAGGCAGAATTCAATGGCCAGTGTATTACGCGAGCAAGCGATTGTTGGATGCCGAGATGCGGTATCTAGAAATGGAGCGATTAGCTTATGCCTTACTGATCTCCTCCAGAAAATTGCGACCCTAC